TTTGCTTTTCTCCTTGGGACGCCGCGTGTAGTGTGAGCAGACAGCTTCTGAGGGGGGATAATTCCTGCAGTTGGAGCCTTGTAAAAACCTGCTGTCCGGCAGACGTTTGCTCTGAAGGGATTGGCGACCGCCGCGGGCAGCGGATGGTGTCATCGCTTTGGGGAGCAAAAGCTGTCAAGACGCAGAGAGCGTGGAGCGCTGGCGTCTTCCCCCGCCAGCTCAGCGCTCCCGGGCTCCTCCAGCCGCACGGGAGCGGCCTGGCGGCTTTTTTTCCTCTTTTTTTCTCGTCTCCTTTTTTCTGGCACAGCATGAGCATAGCAGGGATCCCCCGGGGCTTTGCTGCTATCCAGAGAAGATGCCTTCTTCTCTGCCAGATCTTGTGCTGGGGAAAGGCTGGAGGAAATCCATTTTGCAACGTTTCTGCTGGGGCTGTTGGCAAGAGTCACGCGAGGTGCAGCAGTCCCGGGCTTGTTCCCCCGCCTCAAGCAGCACCGAAAGGCGCAGCCCAGAGCGGTCAGAGCACAGATCTGACCTGACCAACCTCTGCTCACTCCTCGCTTTACTCCAGGTTTGCTTTTTGTTCGCCCTAAAAAGCCTCCTGCTGAGCCCGCCCGCTCCTCCTGGGCCATGACCTGACTGCACCGGGCACTGAAGCCTTTCCCTGGGTCGGCGTTTCCACATGCCCCTGCGCAGCGCTGGCACGAGCAATTTGCATTTCTAGCAGCTCCAGGTCAGCCTGAACCACACGGGCTTTGCTTACGTTCTTCATAAGAAAGGTTCCGGTTGATGCATGTGTTAATCTCAAAAACAAACGCCTCCACATTGCTTTTCCTAAATATAGGACAAGTGTCTGCTGCGGTGCAGGGTGCTTGCAGACAGCCCACAGCGGGGTCATGCTCTTAAATCGAACAGGAGTTTATTAGCCCTGACCAGGAAAGGGACTCGAGTTTAATGCTGTCTGATGGCAGACTCGAGCTGCAGTGAGTCAAGTTTTCAAGGTCGATCTCGTTCCCTGTCATTTGTGAGGCTCATTCTGAGCCTGGAGGTGTGAAACGGGGCTCCCCTGGGACGAGCATCTCAGCCCAGCACTGTGTAGGTTGGCTCTTCCACTTAATCTCTCGTTATCACAGATGCCGTTTCACCCTCCTGTGGGGTAACTGATACAGGGGATTGAGGAAGAAACCATACCTCCTCGTTGAGTCACATCTCGATCAATCCAGTGCTGCGGGAAGGGTAATTTTCCAGGAACATGCAAGCATACAAGTGCTGTTGCTGAAATCTTGTGAGGTCCCCTAATTACAGCTCCAGGAATAAATAACGTTTTGCTTAGACCCTGGTGACTTCGTGCTTTGGAGCAGTTTTCATTTAAGCAAAAGATAAGCACATGAAAATGAAGATGGGATTTGGATTTTCCCTTCTGGTTATTTTGCTTAAAAAGATGCCACCTGGGCCTTGTATAGCAAATTTGGTTTTGTCTGGTGATGGTCAGTGAACGAAAAGATTGAGAGTCCCAAACTGTCATGCAAAAAGCCTCTGTGTTAGAAACTTTCATGTTGCCAGAAACGGTTTGTGAGTGGTGCTTTTCCCTCCACCACATATGTCCCTCCGAGATTTTAGAAGGTCCCTGTAGGAGCAGGAACTTGGAGGGCTGGAAGAACCTCCCAGGCCACAATCTCCCAAACAATGTCCTATCATCCCCTTCAAAAAAACCAACATCATCCATTTTAAAACTCACAGTGTGATTTCTTCTGTGGACGCCAACTCCAAGACTGCACAATCCCCATGGTTAGAAACCTTCTTATATGAAAACTGTAGTGGCGTCCTCTGCCAACGGAGCAGGTCAGATAGATACAAGAAGCAGAGGGTGGGTGAGAGGTGGGACGGGTGCTTTGAGGTGTTACTGCACTCGAGAGCCTGCACCCCTGTCGTGCCTGTGCATTAGGTTTGGGATATCCAGGCCACGTGGTTCTGCCCACGCTGTGCTGGAAACAGGTCCCCGGGCTGAGGGGTGGCAGCTGAAGCAGATGCTTCACAACCTGGAAGGTTGCATCCGTACTTAATTTATGAGCATGAGAACTTGAGCATCTGTCATTGACTGGGTGTCTGGCACCGCATTTGTGGCTGGTCAGATCCAGCCTTGGGTTTGGTGCTGCTGCAAATAGACCTCTGAAATCAAACCAGCTGCTCTGCATGGCAGGGAAGGGGCGAGGACTGCTTGGGTGGTTGTCTTCAGCGTCAAACACTCGATGGGATGTTGCTGGTTTAGAAGGGAAGAAAAAAACCCAAACAATTAAGAACTTAAAATGACTTATTAGTCAGATGAAGCATCTGAACAATTTGTCTATTAATGACTGTGTCTCTGAGCCTGGAAATGCAAACTCTGAGCCCCTGGGGCCTCAGCACAGAGCTGCCGGTGTTGGATCTGCCCCTTATCTCTGCCCCGTGCAGATGCCATCTCGCCCCATGGGGCCATGGTAACACTGGTCGGGGCCATTCCCTCACCAAGGCAGCCTGCACACAGTGCCATTTCCCAAATGCGCATGGATCAAACTGTTCCCAGTTGCTCTTGAAATTTTAACAAGCTGTTATCTTTATTTATGATCTTCTATTTGTTTAAAGGTTAGGTCTGGACCTTCTGAACCCCAACTGCAGGTTTTGTTAAAAAATAAGGGGGAGAGACAAGCATTGCTTGAGCGTCTTCTTGCAGAGCCAAACAGATTTGTCTCTTCTCAGGGGATGTTGCCTCATCCCAACAGGGAAGCAGCCCCTGCCAAGCCCTCTGATTTTTCTTGCTCCTTTTCCAGCTGCAGAAGGCGGGGTTATGAGGTCCTCCTGGCAGGGGAAGGCCGGTCGCAGCCCACTTCAGGCCCTGTACGAGAGTGACCAGGTAAGGGGACAGGGAGAGGGAGATGGGGGGTGAGGAAGGAGTAAGGCGCTGGGGGTTGAGCCTTTCCTCCACCCCTCCGGTGTGCAGGGCACTGCGCTGTCTCCAGCCCACCCCCAAGGTCTCCATGCCTGAACCTCTGGCCGTGTCCAAAAGAAGAGACCACACCGCTTTGGAGAGTAATTGTTCATAAAAAACTGCTTATGGCCCTTGCGGGTACTTGGGCAAATGGTTTCATTACCAGCGCTCCCAGAGCCATAGCTGGGCAAACCTGGGAGATTTCACCATCATCTGAGGAGTTCAAAGCCTACTCTGGGCCATCATAGCAGGGCAAGAGCATCATTGCTGCACTTTCTGCGCTAATAATTGATAGATGCTTCTATGTTGGGTGTCATATATATATATACACACGCGCGCGTATGTATATGCATATATGTATATGTATACACACACACACACACATATAGCTGGACCCAGACATGAGGGGTTTATAATCCTGGGACATCTTAGTCCTCTCCATCACCCTGAGCTGTGCCAGCGACACCTGCTGAGAAAGGGGCAGCCAGGCACAGTCTGGGCAGGGAAACGCTCCTCTCCAGGTGGGCTTAGTGGGTCCCTGCCGGTGCAAGGGTCTGCTGCAGGACAAGCCCTGGTTGCTGCTTGAGGCAGGGAGCGCTCACCCTCGCCAGTCCCTGGTGTGTGCAGCCCAACCAGCATTAGGGACCTGGCATCAGGGAAGGTGTCCCACTTGCCCTTAGCAGCTTGGGAGCTTGGGGGCTTGTGGCTGGAGCTGCAAAAGGTGTGTTACTGCATCCCCTCGCTGGACCAGCAGTTTTCCCCCCGTGCAGCCAGACTTGTCTTTGCAGAAGGATCCTTCACCCACAACTTCCCTGCAGGAAGCTCTGTAGGGAACCACCCTCCAACCGGTGCAACAGGCTGGGCCGTGGCCACAGGTCCCAGCCACCAAACGTGCCCTGCATCTCCCCACATCCACGAAGCAGTCCACCTTCTGCAGCCTCCAAGAAGCAGAGGACAATGCTGGTGGTCCCTGCAGCTGGCTGCCATCCCCTCTGCCTCCCCAGTGCCCATCGGCAGTGCCCGCTGCAGCCAGAGCCAGATCTCCTTTCCATACACGATGCTTCGTGTTACTGTCTAGGTTGATGCTTTTACGTCTGTAAGCAGCCAAATTACATTTGCTCTGGGAAAAACGGCAAGAGTGGACTCCCTTGGCCACAATGCCGGCAAACCCTCATGCTGCTGGAATGTCATGGTGTTATTTCCTTAAAAGTGATACTTAATTTCTCTGTCTTTTAAAGAGAAGGAAACGAAATGAGCAATTTTGCTCTGAAATAACTGCAAGACATGCACTTATTCCAGTCAGTGGCTGTTGAAAAGTAGTCACATTTATTTGTTGCCATGCCTGCAGACACTGTCTGTCTGTCTGTCTCTCTGGTCCAATAGTTTTGAATTATGCAAGTGCAGGGAAAAAAAATGAAAAAAATCGCATTATTAAAATGCCTCTTTTTTTTAAGCATATGCAAAAAGGGTTTCCAATTTTAAAAGGTGATGGGGAGCCTCCAAACAAAAGAAATTTCTACTGAAAGATTTGTTTCTGTTGCAAGCAGATGTACCATGAGAATGCCTCTTCAGCTACGATGATCACCTCCGTAGGTGCTGTCTTCTTCATACCCAAGTAGCCAACAATATCAAAGTCATATCTTGGTGGCAGTTAGAGTCTGTTGACCTGCATTTCCTCCATCTGAGCATTTTCTCATCTCTCTTTTGGAAGGAGCAGGGATGGGATGCTTTCTTCTGCCCCTGTCTCAGCGTACTGCCCATGCAGGTTCCTGGAGAAAGTGGTCACTAAGGTGACCTGGACAAGGTTATCTCTTTTGTGGACATGAGATCCAAGGAGGAGCTTTTTGCCCAGATGTTAGTACCCCTCTGAAGGTGACAAGTCTGCTGGATCATCCACGGGATGGGCAGTTTGTCTCAGTATCCTAACTCCTGGCAGGAGCTTTACAAACCCTAATCTCCATTACACAGCCTCTCCCAGGCTCTGGTGCCTCCCAAAACCCCGTATGGTCCCCCAGGAGAGATGAGGATGCACTTGAAGCTCTGCAAACAGTGTCCTTGTCCTGAGCAATGACAGCTGTCAGCAGCAAGGATGTAGGGACAAAGGAGGTGGCCTGCCCTTCCCCTTCATTTTGAGGTTGCCACGTCTCTGCAGGCTGCAGAGGTGTTTGCCCTGGTGCCCTGTGACACTGGCAGGACTCTCTTCAGAAGCCCAAAGTGGAAGCCACCATCATCTTGCGACACAGCAGTCATTGCATTGCATTAGCGCAACAGCTCCATGGGGTCAGAGCCACCCTCGGCTGGCAAGGGGTGAAGCCGTTAGTGGTCATGGCCCGGATGAGGCTGTTGGAGGTTCCCAGCGATGATTTCAGAGCTGAACGTGAAACCTCCCAACCCTTGTGAGCAAAATGGGGATGGAGTGGGCAGGAGGAGGAGGGGACCTTCCCCTTCTGAGTTCCTGGAAACAGTTTCCTTCCCCAGATGTTTTAATGATATTTTGGGATTTCCGATTAAAATCATGACAGGAAAGGTCACATCCCCAAATCTGGAGGGGGCTTTCAGCTGGCGCAGCGGTCAGGGGGCTCGGGGCTCCTGGGAAGCCAATGTAGCAGCTGCCAGGCCTTGCAAGGGTCAAAAGGGATAAAGGACCATATGTGAACTCCTCATCCCTGTAGACAAAGGAGACTATGACCAGAGCTGAGACATTGGACTGGCCTGTGTGGAAAACATCCCTCAGAAGAAGAAACACAAAGCCCTCAGGAAGGGCCCCACCACCACCTCCAGCAGTACCTCGCTCCTCTCCATCATGCCCTGCCACCCCCCATCACCTCCAGCTCCCCGACTGCTCCCCAGGGTTTCACTGTCAGCATCTCCCTTTGCCGCTCCTTGGCAGCACACCCGTGCCGTTTTCATCATGCATGCCCACACCTGTGTGCCACATTTCTGCCTCTTGGCTGTGATGTTCGCACCGAGCCCACGTGTAGGCGTCAGCGTGACATGGCGATGCCCCATCGCAGCCGGGGGGTGTGCAGGGCCCTGTGCCAGCAGAGGGGCTGCGCTGTTTGCCCCTGGAGGGGTTGGGCCATGCATGCCCCCCTGGACTGGTGTAAGCCCAGTGTGTGTGTGTGTGTGTGTGTGTGTGTGCGTGCTGTAACAAATACTCTGTTACTGACCCCCTCTGCACCACCTTTTCTTCCTTCACCCCCTTTGACTTGTCTCCTTACCCAGCTCCTCATCACATTTTGTTCTCTTTTGCCTCCAGCAGGTCCAAGGATTAAACGCACCAAATCAAGTTATGTTCAAAGTCAACACTGTCCTCAAAAATCCCACAGCGGTGACTGCCAAACCCATGGAAGGGGAGGGAATGGGAACAGTTCTGGGCCAAGTGTTGTGTGTAGGCCACAATCAGCTTGGGCAAGCTGGTGACCATCTCTTTTTTTTTCCCCCCCCCTCTCCCCAGTTTGAGCAGTCATCACTACAGGCAGTTCACCAGCAGAGACGGGAGCTGTTGAGCAACATCTGTAACCGTTACACTCGCAAGCGGCGTCTCCTGCGGCCGGATGACTTGCGGCACTTGGTGGTGGATGACACGCATGGGCTGCTCTATTGCTACGTGCCCAAAGTGGCCTGCACTAACTGGAAGCGGGTGATGATGGTCCTGACAGGGCAAGGCAAGTACCAGGACCCACTGGAAATCCCCGCCAACGAGGCCCATGTCTCGTCCAACCTGCGCACCCTCTCCGAGTACAGCATCCCTGAGATCAACCACCGCCTGCGCAGCTACCTCAAGTTCATCTTTGTGCGGGAGCCCTTTGAGCGCCTGGTCTCGGCGTACCGCAACAAGTTCACCCGCAGCTACAACACGGCCTTCCACAAGCGCTATGGGACCAAGATCATCCGGCGGCACCGGCAGGAGCCCAGCGACAAGGCCCTGGAGCGTGGGGACGACGTGCGCTTTGAGGAGTTCGTCTACTACCTGCTGGATCCACGGACACAGCGGGAGGAGCCCTTCAACGAGCACTGGGAGCGGGTGCACTCACTCTGCCACCCCTGCATTGTCCACTACGATGTGGTGGGCAAGTATGAGACCTTGGCTGAAGATGCCAACTACATCCTCCAGCTGGTTGGTGCCGACACGAGCGTCAAGTTCCCATCTTCATCCAAGACAACCAGGACGACAGATGACATGACGGCCCAGTTCTTCCAGGACATTAGCCCTTTCTACCAAAGGAGACTCTTTAATTTATACAAAATGGACTACTTGCTCTTCAATTACTCCATCCCCTCATACCTCCGTATCCGATGAGGCAGGGGTTGGGAGGAGAGGTGAGGGAGAGCTGGGTAACTCTCATCTTGCCATAATTCCTCTCCTCCCCCCCTGTGCTCATCTCTTGGTTGACTTCTGCCCCATGCCCTCTCCATTATGGTCTGCTCCGCATCCTGATGCCTTGTTCATGCATGGTCTGGAGGGAGGACACCTCTCAAAACACTGGGGCTGGAGCTTTTCCTTCCCTTTCCCTCCCACTCTTCAACATCCACAGGGGATGGTGGTGGGACCAGACACTGCTGGGTAGGAGGCCCTGCCTTAGCTGGGGACTTTCTTTTAACTAAGAGGCTCCTCTGTACATCCAAGTCTTGGGAAGGCTCCTTTTTTGGGCAGGATCCCTTCAGGTCTTTCTTCTCCTTACTGGGCTGTTTGGGGGCAGACATGGCATCTCGGGGTGCAGGGGAGAGTGTGTCAAAGACTTGCATAGAACCAGAAATAAAGCAATTATTTAATGTAAATTTTTCCTTTAAAATTGCTCCCACCTTTTCTTTTTGCCTTGTTCTCCTCCATCCTCCTGCAGCTTCCCGCGCCATCCTCCATTTCTGGGGAAGGCAGTGGTGTGTTACAGTGACCATGCATTTCTTCCCTGACAAAGCCTGGAGGGATTTTTTGTTCCTCTACTTCCACGTGCTCTTGGTTGGGATGCAAAGTACTGCAAAGAGAGAGAGGAGCAGGTTTGCAGCAGGTATGGGCTAATAGAGACACAGTGCTTTCTCCTGAACTACACTAGCAGAGCACTCACTGCCTGTGCGTACATGTCTCTGGATTTCTGGTCAAATCCAATAAATCCACGCCCCACACCTCCTGTTTTTAAGAGGGGATGATGACTGGTTTGCAAAGCCGTATGTACAGCACGGGTGCAGGCGTCTGCTCAGATGAAATCCCATCATCCACGGTGTCCTGCCTGTGGTGCCAGCTTCTCGTCCCTTGCCACCATGTGCTGCTCCCATATGCAGCCGGTGCATCCCACATGGGGTGGCCACATTGCACCAGGGGAGAGAGAAAGGTGCTGGGGCAGGTTTGAGTTATGAAGTGCTCTGGGGAGCACTGTGCTGGGATGTGGGGGATCGCTATGGTAATGAAAAGGTGATGCTGGACTGGGAAGGCCAGAGGAGCGTGTGTGCGTGTGTGTGTGCATGCGTGCGCCTGTGTATGAGAACAAATTGAGAATAAAAATGGGGACAGAGACACCTAGAGGAAAATTCCCCTTTGCCTGGCTGGCTTTGGACAATTCATTCCTTGAAAAAGAAATGGGGAGGAGGGGGCGAAACACAAAAGAAAATGACAAACAGAGTCCTAAGATTTTAAATTAAAACCAGTCTAAGGAGCTGTATTTCTTTAAAACCATATTTCAGTCTGTCTTCTTTTCTGTTCGTCTTTGGCTCAGTGGCTGCCTTTGTAAATAAACATGCCGGTAATAGATGCTATAGAGTGTGTCTGCTGGCTTGGCTGCAAACACTTGACTTATTAGTGCAATACAATGGGAGGTTTTATAAAACCAAGTGCTCTCAGGCTCTTTTAAAAAATAATGTTTTCATCTAACAACTTCCAGCTGTTATATCTTAACCATTTTCCTCTCTGCCTCTGATGATTGGCACCTATATGCTGACACTTCCTCCTTGGTTGCTTCGTTTGGAGATTAGGTTTAACAAAGCAATGAAAAAGAACAGTAAATAAAATCGCTGGTGATCCTGGCAGTCTGACTGATTCTCCCAATCTGGACTGGAGAGCTCACAGAAATGGCCTTTCGTGTGCTATCTTAGTATCTCCCTGTCTAGCTGAAACTCAAAGCACAAAAACAGGCTATATGATGCAACAAATTGCATCTGCAGTGTTCAGGCTTGGAGTGCATTCCTCCTGCTTTCTCAGGAGTCTCGCATTCCCTGCTTAGCACTGCCTCTGCTTGGAAAAATAATTGTTCAAGTCACCACAAGCTCTTTTCATTGCTTTTGGTCATGAATCATAGTTTGGGGTCAGATTCAGAGTCATAAAGGGATGCATTTTTTGGATGGATTTCTTTATTTTTTTTCCTTTTCCTAAATACTGTTCTCTGCAGGTAGCTCTTAAAAGTGATGGCACAGTGAGTGGCAAGGACAGACTCCCTCCCCGTTGTGCTGTCTGTGGGTGCATAAGCAATACCTGGCTAGCTGGGAGCCTCTTTGGGCTCTCTTTGGTGTGAAAGCAAGGGAGCAGCATGCTTTGGGTTTTGTCTTTTAGCCAGCTGGTTTCTAACCTTTGCTGCGATGGTGGTGATTTGGAGACGGTCCCGGTTGTGATGGCTGTTTGATCGGCAGCCTGTCCCCTGGCACCCCCATCAGACCTGACCCATTGCCCCAAACAACAGCAAAGGCACGCGAGTATGGAGCGAATGCAGGCCTCCAGCCTCAGCCATGGTCTGTAAGGGCAGTACCCTGCTGAGATTTAGTCTGTAATAGGGTGTCTTTTGGGTCACGTAGGACCTTTAGGCTTTTTCTAAAAAAAAAAAAGAACACAAAACAAAACAACAAAAACCCACAACCAACAGCTACAATCCAACCCATTTAGGTCATAGCCTTGGCTTTCCCCCTGCCTAAATACCACTTTCCAAAGCAAAACCTGCCCATGCAAACAGAAAATGGCCACTTCGTATTTCTGAAGCAACCGCCTTCAGCCCGGGCTAGAGTTTTCAAGGCCTGGAAACGCTGCTCGCACTGAAAAACGCTGCAGGAAAGGAGAAAACGGGGTTAGGACGACACCGTGTGACTGATGATCCCAACTACAAGCATTTTAATTGCCTGTACGACTTCGGGTGCTGGGAGCCATTTCTCTGAGGGACTCCCACTTGTTTGTGGCTTTTTTTAGCTGTTTCACTGCATCTTTTTTTTTTTTTTTTGTGATAGAGGAGAAAATATCAAGGTAGTCTAGGCCACCTCTAAAGTGTAATTGGATTTGGTTTTATCCTGTACTTGGAACTGTGAATGTGACAGCACTGACAGCACCTGATGTGCAACATGGCCATGGAACACAAGGAGATGCCCGAGGCAGCCCCCCAGGAGCACAGAGCAGGGCATCATCCCCTCAGCCCTACCCGAGCACCCTGCTGTGAGCAGGGAGTGTTTCCAGGAGGAAGACAGTGGTCTGGAGATGAAGGGCACAAATGCACTGCTGGGATCTCAAACAGGACTGAAATGCAGCCCTGCGGGGTGTGTCTGTCTTGGTGGCAATGGGGCTTTGGTGCGGCCGGCCTGTGGGGCTACATACCATGTACTGTGCTGCATTTTGGCCAAGGTTTGATGATGAGCAGAGGTGAAGACTCTTCTCGGGTAGCCCCATAACCAGTGAGGTGAAGACAGGACCAACCATCCCACTCGGAACGAGCTGAGCTGCTGTCACCTGGAGAAAGAGCCAAGTGATAACCCCAAGGGCAGCCAGGGCATTGACTTCTTTTTGTACCCTTAAATACAGGCCTTACACTGCCAAAAAGACTCCCCAACTTGGTATTTCTGCAGAGAAATAAACCTTCCCTGCAGGGCTGGTGCCCAGGGCTAAGTATGGCCATTAACCCCCACAGCTCCATACTGAGCTTCTGCACCCAGGGGCGTGCTGGCAGCAGCTGGGCTAGAGGACGAGGAAGGGATGTCCCACAGCAAAGCTGAGGATGCTGGTGGCTGCCAAAGCAGCCAGGTGAGAGCACTGGGGTGTCCCTGCTGTGCTGGTAAGTGCACCGACCCTGCCAAAAGGAGCAGAGGCACCTGAGCGAGCATGGCTGCAATGAGCTGCCCATCCCAGAACCAAGCAGCTCATCTGCTGGGGTGCGTGGGGCTGGGTGCCGCACCTCACTGACTGGGCAGCGCTGTCTTCTGCCCAGGCTGGAGTCCTCGGCGCCGCTTTGGCAGCAACAGGTTGGAGCAGGAAGACCGGGGTGGCCGAGGGAGAGCTGCCATGGCCGGCGCTGCCAAGGTCACCCTGGCTTGGCAATGGGAGCCCAAAGACAAATGGAAAAATCTGAGTTAGATGCAATGATTGCACATGGCTTAGCCTCAGGGAAGGAATAACCTTGCAAATTCTATTTAAACCTTCTCTTCCTCATCCCCCCATCAAGTGCCTCTTAAAAATAAATAATTAAAGAAACAAAGCATGGCTATTGCCATATGAAATAGCATTCAGAGTTCTGAGTCACGCAGCCAAGATGAGGCAAGTGCACCCTGGGCATGCTTGAGGGCAAGTGCCAGCCCTCACCTCACTGCTGCAACGACCATGGTAGCAATGTCCCCCAGCCCCCTTGAAGGCTGCTGGTACCATGGGAGGTCCCATCCTGGCCTCAGACAGGCTGCAGAGCTTGGGGACAAGCATTTCCAAGTAAGCCAGGTTGGTCCTGGGGTTCAGCCTGAGGCTTGGGAGCTGCTGGGGAGCTGTCAGAGCACCAGGGTGCGAAAAACAAGAACAGCCTCACTTTGGTATGTCCATGAGTGCACACATATACAATGTAAATAATGATTATATTATAATGTATAATAGAATTATTGCAAATAATTGAAATATTTATAGGCGATAATACATCCATTATATGTAATATGTATATGTGTATAAAGTATATATTACAAAAATAATTAAACAGCACTTATGATTACATTTACATGTTGAGTGGTTGTATTTGTATATGATTGTAATACTTAATAGCTATTTTTTTTCCATCCATCTACATATGCATGTACATATGCATGTACATCATCATATTTATTATATAAATACACACATACCCCTGACCATAAAGGAGAGAGCACCTTCCCTTCCTGCAACGTCGAGCTCTGCCACAGTCCAACATGGCTTAGCAGCTGATGGCGAGCCAGCCCCTTCCTCCAAGCACCGCTAACAGCTCTGCTTGCTCCAGCCTTCAGAGCCTGGCAGCTCTTTGCCTGTGCTGTGGGTATTTCATGCTGTGGAGCCGCTGGCCCCATCCCTGGTGGCCTATGTGAAGCTGCCGAGTTTCCCCTTCCAATGGAACAAAACTGAGCTTCAGTGACAGGGAGGTTTCCTTCCAGAGCTTGCTGTGCACCACAGATTGGGTTGTTTACCAGCTGGAGGATTAAATAGACTTCCATTGAAGGGAAAAAAAAAAAAGCATTTTCAAGTATGTCTTGGAAGTGGTGTCTTGCTTGAAGGAGGCTTTTCAGACTTGCTCCTGTTTGCTGGCTGGCACTTCGCTTGTCCCTGGTAAGAATGCTGCATCTTGTACAAAGTAGAGTATCTGCATGTTCCATGACACTGGAAAAATACTGTATTAGGATGGAGGCAGTGAGTGGAAGCTGAGGGGGAGAAAAATAAATGCTTTGACTATCACTGAAACAAACCCGTTCCCATCTCTCTACGGCTGGTGACAGCCCCTTCTTTGCTTGCAAAGAGAAACCTTTCCACACCCAGGAATGAGGAAGCCCCTGACCGACCTTCCTCCCCGATGCATCTGGGATCTCCCTGAGGTCCCAGCAGCCACGCCAGCACCCCAACACACTGGCGTTGCGGCGGTGCAGGGCAGGCACCCACCCCCTCCCAAACCCCGATGACCTTCCCCAGCTCCCATCCCACAACACTGACATGAACCTGAGATACAGTTTATTGGGGCACAACTAGTGGCTCATCTCAGGAGTGAGCCTAAACTGCACTGCTAATACAGTGTGAAGCAAAACCAAGGGAAATTAAAACATAAATTTTACATTTTTTTACTGCCTCCTACTACAGCCTGGATCAGCTGTCTGACGGCTGCACAGGGCTTGGACGATCCAGCATAAAGCACTTTTTTTTAAATTTCTGCTTTTTTCAAAAACAGCCAGTCTCATTCTTCTGCTGACACGCCACATTTGCCTTTATTCCCCCTAGAGATTAAAACAAAGTAAGCTTTTGACTGGGATCTTGTAGCATTTGATGGGTTTCTTAGTCCAGGGCAAGCGCTGAGCCCAAATGGGCAGATCAGCAGCCAAGGACTAAAGAGCAGCAAGAAAGGAGCTCTCTTCTCCCACCTCTTCCTTTTTAAGGACATTGCTGATCTGGGAGCTGTGAGGACTAAATAATACAAATAAAAGTCACCGTCAGCTCAAATGGAGGTGCTGGTGACTGTGGCGAGGTGGCTACAAGCCAGCAAAAAGCTGGGCACAGTACGCCACAGACACAGCAGCAGAGAAGCCAGGCCCACCGCTAGCAGTGACTTTCCTGCCAGGTTAGATTAAAGACAGAAATCACTACAGATGGGCTCTGCTACCCACACAGGTTTGCCCTGAAACCATGTGAATTTTGTGAAGGAAAAGGGAGGAAAGCAACTCCCTCCCCAAACCTCCACCCCAACAAAATACGTACAACCACCACAGGGAGCATAACACCAGGTAGGGCCTGTGATGTACCGAAAGCTCTTAAGAGCTGAGGATCCTGAAGGCATTTAAGGAGAGGGAAGTGGGACAATACCTAGACACCTCAGAGGCTTCTTGCCCCGTGCAGGCCCTCGCTGGGTGCCACCAAGGCAGCCAGTGCCAGGGGGAGGGAGCAGTGACGGGCTGGGGCTGCTTTCTTGGCAGAGCGGGTTCAGAGGGAGTCACAGGACCACTGATCCAAGCCGTGCTCCAGGGTTACATACAACCTTTGTTAGCAAAGGCCCTTTCTCATTTGCACAGGGCAAGAGAGAAAAGGAAGAAGGAGAAAGAGTAAACAGGCTGAACAGCCAAATAACTAGCCTTTCACTGCCCTAACAAAAAAAAAAATAAAAAAAAAAAATCCCTTTTTATTGAAACCATTTCCTTTGGTTATATCATTTCTCTTGAGGCTGGAAGTAATTTTCTGTCTTAAGTGCGTTCCCTGCATTTAAGTGCACAGGCATGAGGCTGATGCTTGGCTGCCCACCAAGGGGTACCCCAGAGAGCAGCGCGTCTTGTTGTGCCCTTTTAATCTCGCCACATTGGCTCATAGTCCCAGTGCCTCCTGCAAGGGGGGAACCCCCAGCCCCAGCACGGGCAAGGTGCAGCATGGGCCACTCCAGCCCAGCTGGGTCCCAAAGTAGGACACAGATGGCATCCATTACATGTTCCCATTCGTGTCCTCTGTCAACAGTGGCAAGCAGAACAAGCCAAGCTCTGCCCAGAAATCCCGTGATGAAAGGACACACCAGTGCAAGGGCTTTGTTGCAATCGTGCGACAGAGGAGCAGCTGTGTGTTGGGCACTGGGAGGAGAGTGACTGGAGTCCCTTGCAGTCAACACCAGCCACAGGCTCCAGGCTGGGGCTTTTGGGGGATTGGAGGGAGCAAGGGCAAAGCTGTGCTATCAAAGAGAGAGAATTCCATGTGTCTGGCACCCTGCAGAGGGCTAGGGTGTCCTCAGCAGCCTGGCCTTAGGATGAGCCTTGCCTGATTCACGCCAGCAGCAAAAGCATCAAGACCAGCAGAGGACCTCCCCACGGCAGCAGGGACATGCAGTAAGGTGAGGAGAAGAAAAGCTGGTGTTGAGGCAGGAGAAGTTATTTGCCAGACGCCAGTGACAAATTGGAGCTAATAAAAGTTTACATAATAAAATACTAATCTCAAGTTATTAAAATATGTATGTACATACCTTCTAATGCAACCCCCTCAAACTGGGACCAGCAATCAGACACTTGCTTCGCTTTCCCCGCAAGCCCCCTGAGCTGCTGCTGCTGCTGCAATTATCACCCGTGGGTGCTTGGGGCTGAGGGCTGCGCAGCCGAGCCGACAGCACACAGGCTGCAGCGAGAGATAAAGCAGCAAGGCCTGAGACGGGGGAAGCATGTGCCTTGAAGGCTCAAACTTCCCTCACCACAAAGCTTGTGTGTGCACACTACCCCATACTCAGTAGGGGGTAATTTATCCTTTGTAACAAAAAAAGGAAGAGGAGGCTTGGAGAGAGTGGAGGAGACAGCTGATTTTTTTTCAGGGAGTGTTTTACCCCACACTTGGCAGCCCGGAGCTGAACAGCTCTTGCTGTTAGGGACCTTCAGCCAAGTCTTGATCTCAGCTTTGCATCAGCCTGGGGAGATCAGAGCAGCACCAGGAGCAAAGAAACGCCCAAGGCCAGTAGGCACCCAACGCAGCTCAAATTTAAGTGTTTAAGAGCTGTCAAGTCCTTGAACAAAGCATCCATCTGCCAGCAGGCAGGTGGACTTGACCTTCCATTTTCCCTGCTCCTACATGTACAAAGGCAGATTATTATTAAAGTTGAGGTCCAGTGGCATTTTTCAAAGGTTTGATCCATGCCCTCAACTCCTGACTCCTGGGCATCTTGTTATCTGCAGGACCCTACAGCTTCTTTGATTTCAGTGAGAATTGGCTGCTTTCAGCCCCACAAGCCTCCCTGATGTGTTCCTGGTAGCACAAGATAGCCACCCTGCAGTGAGGACCTAAGGAGTCATTTGCCAAATCCTCGTGCCAAATCCTCACGTACTCCAACACAGTCCTTATGCACACACACAGACACTAGACTCATCGCAGAGCAATCGTTAACGAGTGGATGGTGACTATGGGAGAGGGAATGGGGTTTAATTCTAACCTGAAACACGTGGCTGCAAGAGGTTGCCCTTGGTTAGGAAACACTGATTTTCCTGAAGCCTTATTAAAATTGTGTTGTCCAACCCTGAGTGGATGAGAAAGAAGTGAGCAAGAAGTTCCACCCGACAAGTTTGAACTAAAAACAAGGCAGAGCCATGGCAAGAAAAAATAAACCCCCAAATCCACAGCATTACCTTTTTTTAACCACTTTATTTGTGTGTGTTTCTATAAACATTTTCACTACTGGACGTTTCATAAACCGTAAAAACAAACCTTCCTAGCCCCAAAATGCAATCAGTCCAGCTTGTCGGTCAGACAACAGCAATGCTGCCAGCGCAGGTAGGTGGTATCCCTAGATAACCTCCCGCTGGGCACAAGCCAGCGGGAAGCTCATTGCGTCAGATCCTGAGCGTCTGAGCGACGGAGAGGAGACAAGTTTAAAGACCTGGTTGCTCTCCTCCTCCAGAGACGTTATGGGAGAGAAAAGGGGGGCAAATAAACAATTTCCCTTGATGGAAAGTCAGAGTACAATGGAGATGTTGCGACATCCACTTGCAGGGTCGGATGCAGTGACTTCGGCAGGCTTTGGAGCAGCCTCACAGGCTGTGTTGTTACTGGGGACTGAAACCCATCAAAATGCCCAAATGCTCCTTAACGCCTCGTTTGCCGGGCACGGGTGTGAGCAGCAGGTGCTGCTTAAAACAGACTTGCTCACTTGCGAGTGTGCAACTCTGTGGGTGCCAATTCCTCGGGGTGGGCAAGCCCAGCTGTAAGGCACGATGGGGAGGAGAGATGGGGTCTCAGGGGTGGCAGGGGAGGCCCAATCCAGCCAGGTGACCCAGCACTCATCGCCAAGTACCCCATATTCCCAGAGGAAAGCACCATGGCACCATGTCGCACAAGTGATGCGGAGCAGCGGGTGGTCTCTCAGTTCCCAAGGTTCATGTCTGTGCCATGGACAAGCCAAACCAGGCGGAAACAGACAGCCAGAAATCCGGTGCCCAGGAGATCCCCCAAGGCAGTGAGGTAGGGAATGGAGAAATTATCCGGATCCAGCGCCTTCCTCCACATCAGGCGCACAATTAGGTCAGCCATGTAGAGCAGGATTCCCACCTGAGGAAAGGCAAGACAGGCCCTACTGTGAGGCAGCAAGAAGTAATGCACAGCCAAAATGATGTGGCCATGGCCAAGGTACCAGAGCTAACGGGGTTTGCTGAGAGGTAACACCTTCCCCAGAGAACCACTGTTTCTCTGCGGGACGGAGCTGTGCTAGGATGGGTGTAGCTGGCTAAAACCCTTGGGCACTGCATTGCCTGGCATCGCGCATGGTGCCACGGCCCCATGCTGCCAGCCACAAGTGTGGGGACCACGCTTGCACTGCTCACCAGCATCGCGTGGCCCAAAATGGGAGTCTGGCCACACCAAAAGCATCTCTCAGAGGTATGGTTCCCACTTCCCATGCTGTGAATGGGAGTGCTCCCATTTCCTCCAGCAGAAACATGCAGCAGCAGCAAATATGCAGGCAGCCCCAAAGGATAAGTTTGTAGCCAGATTTTTTCTCTTCATCCTTCATTTTTCCATTAGAAATTCAGGTCATGTATACTTTGTTTTTCCTAAAAGTCTCAGTGGATAACTGGAGTTTGAGGCAAGTTTCTAAACCAAAGTTATCCCAAGAAGCACTGACATGTTAAAAAAAGAAAACCATTTCTTTTTTTTTTCATCTCAACAGTTTTAAAATCTTTGTTGTGATTTCTTTTAATTCCTATTTCATTCCTGATTCTGATAAACAGACGGAAGAAAAAAATTCTTCAGTTAAAGATTAAAGACTGTCTAGTTAATTGAATTAAGAACGGAGAGAGAGTTTGCACCCCACATCTGTGGTCCCTCCATGGGAGACTGCAGTTCAACAGGAACCAAACACAGAGGCAGCATTTCTAAGGGTAAAAACAGCAAGCTGAGTGTGGGAGGAGGAGAGATGGGGGAAGCAAATTAAATAACGGAATCACAGAAACTAAAGCTGGATGGAAACTCAAGAGTTTTATATAGACCATTCTTCTGCCTCAACCCAGGATCAAATACGCCCACATCACTCCTGACGGTCATTTGTTTAACCTATGCTAAACAATCCTCAAAGATGGAGATGCCACACTCTAAGCAATCAGTCCCATGGCTTTTTTTCCTCTGTTCTTGTTTTTCCCAGGGTCTCAACATAAATCTGCCCTTTTCCATTTGAAACCCATGATTTCATGTTTCATCCCTAGTGACCACAGAGAAAATGTTATTCTGTCCCTCCCTACAGAAACTTGGTAGTTTAAAGGCTGTTAACCAGATTTTTCTCAAGCCTCTCTTCTTTGGACTAGCTAACCCCAGTCCATTCATTCGTTCCTCTAAGGTCATGTTTTCTAGGCTTATGATCTTTCTCTTTGGGCTTTCACCAGCTGACCCAAACTTCCCCCTCTCTTTCTGTCCATCTGTCTTTATAAAGTATAATGGAGGGGAGGAAAGAACCAGGCTGAGCGTATTCTCCTTCACTGGCCTCCACGGGAATCTTTCAGGGTCAGTGGCGTTGCTGGGATTCTGCTCTTTACACTGTCATTTATTCTGTGTATTTTCATGCCTGGCTGTGGTTGAGGAGTTACCTCGACACATAAAGAGAAGAATAAATATTTTCCTTTACAACTATGGCTGTGCTGCTGGGCTTAGGGTTGTACAAAGGTCGAGAAAAAGTGATTGTTTACACACACAAGGAATTCACCCCCAGACACGAGGCTGCTTGTAAGGCAAAGCAAGAAGTCAGCTACCTCACCCTGCAAATTAATGAATCACTGATTTAAAAGGGCAAGTGAAATCAGAGCCTCTGTGAGTTTAAGCAACAGCCACATGCACTTCTGAGGAAGACGACAAAGTTTACAGGGCAGGCAAAACAGCGAAAGGGAACAGGCAGAACACATTGGATGAACTGCCCGTTGCCTACCCAGAACTTTTACTTTTGAAGATTAACTTCTCAGGCCTGGGCTTTCCCTTCACTTTTGATCTATATGGCCCTACCCTGAAGGACCCCCAGGTCTTCACCATGACATGTGGGAAAGCTGCTGGCTGGGATTCATAGGCTCTCACTTGCCCCTTACTGGCATAACCAGTGGCAGTCTAGAAATAGTTGGGGCCTAGAGACTTGAGCGAACATGGTAAAACAAGGTACCACATACAGCAGGAGTGTACCTCCTTGATCAGTGTGTCTGCACATGTACTGCAGCTCAGTGAATGATGATGATGTGTTCCTCATCTCATGTCTGACCCCTCACTCACCCTTACGGGCAGTTGTGCTCAGCTGGGAAACAGGACCCTGGCAATCTGGGTGAAGTATTACTGGATCCACAGAAAATACATGATGCTTGGTAGGAGGCACACCTGAAATGATTGGAAATGTGGGCCAGTGCTAGAAGTTTTACTCTGACTCCTGTTCAGCCTAGAGACTGTTTTGTTTTCCTAGTATCTGAGAGGTTCCTTTTTAATGAGAGGTTGGGGTTTACCTGCAGCAAAGCAGCAGTCAGATAGAACATCACAAAGGTGAAGGACAGAGACGTGTGGCCTCCCTGCAGCAGATGGATGGTGTAGAGGAACACAAGGTGCCCTGGGATAACCAGGAGGAACAGGACTCGGGCTGACTTGGAATTCACCTCTGCAGAGGACAGAGACAGAAACAGCAATGACAGTGGCTGCAGACCGTGGGGGGAGGACATGACGCAGCTGCGTATTTTAATGCTGGTACATAGACTTGGGGCTGTCTCCTCCCACCAACCACATTGCTAATGCCTTTTCTAGATCACACAGCAATCTGGAGCATCTGCAGTATCAGCCTAGCAGCTTTGCCTAGCACTGAAACTATGTGTCAAAGACATGCTCTGTGATGATCCACTCCACTTCTAAAAACTCTTCTCAGCTGCTCTCTGCCTCCCACTGCTTCTTCTCTGCCTTGTTGCAACCCACTTTCCCAGTTTTTAGTTTGCTTTAGCAGTATCTCCCAACCTAGCAGGGAAAATAAAGAGGACTCTGCAATCTAAAAAGACAACAGACCCATCTAGTTTTGCTGATGCTTAGGTTTATCCATTGCTGAAGATGAAGAAATTGCTGATTTTCAGCAAGGTTATGCTCTATTCACCCCTCTGTCTATACGTGATGGCTCTAGGCTGGCCATGGTTAAAAAATATTTTCTATTAGATCAAATCTGAGATTCTTTTTCAATTACTTTCTTTAGTGCTCCCTGAAGGCCAGTTTCTTTGCATGCCAGCGAGCAAGTATACCACAAGCTTTTTTCCAAGCTGCCCATTGCAAAGATGCTTCCTCTCTGATCTGAGCATCTTCCCTGTAAGGGAGAAAGGGAGTTCTGCCTTTGAAACCCACCTAGTCCTTCACCAACCAGACTTGATAAAGGAGCTATCTGTGATGACAGGCCTAGGGTTGATGGATAGGGTTGACTAGGCCCAGGTGATGGACACCTAGGGTTCAAGGTCTACCTGAGGAGAAGAATGTGGTGCATGGGTTGGGCCAATTCTGCCTCATCTTATATGGCAAAACTCCAGGCATGCTCCAGAAGTGCAGGAATGTGGAAATACGGCTGGCCTGGATGGCGACCAGATTCCCTCCAACACCTATGAGGACAAAACACAGTAAACATGTAAACCACCTTCACTGCAGCAGAAAACATCGGTCTAAAACCTAGCCCAAGGTGAGTCAACCTGCATTCGCTTATAAGCTCACTGAGAGCAGCAATGAGAAAGAGAAAACCTGATCCCACACATCATGGTGATGCTGCGCTATTCACTTGGCAGGAACAGCTCTTAAAAATCAGGAAGGTTCCAGTGATCATCTCCTTCTGACTGCTTTATTGGAAACATCTTCCCTTGCTTCCCAGCACCAGCTGTAAATGCCATGTGGCCTCTGAAGATGATGTAATTGCACCTGGTTTGACAGTCTGTGAGCAACACCTGGGGAAAGCAGCACAGGCCATGGCAGATGCTGCTCACGGCCACTTCTTGGATTTACTCACCCAGAGCGCCATTATTGTTTAAAAGACAACAAACATCACAGAGAGTGATTATATGTCTGTCTGAAGGCAACACACTTGTTAAATGAGAAGGAATCATATGAGAATGAATCGGAGCCCAAATATATCAGGTAATTAAAAGGCAATTAATTCCTTCCAGACTGATTAATTCCAGCAAACATGAAAAAGCAGCTATGTTTTCCAGCAGAAAACAGAGGGATGATGATCTATGGAGCAACATCCTGATATTTCCAGGGTAGAAATGCCACAGAAAAGATAACAGTAAGCCAGATCCTACAGGCTTCTCATGTTTCCCTTCCTTGAAGAAGGAAATGCTCCATCATTAAATGTGATATTTGCCAGAGTGGAATCAAAGTGAAAATACTAAGGCTACTTCAACATAGCTCAGGATGGGAGCCTTCTGAATCGTGCACTGCCATGCTTTGCGGGACACCCCTGCACATGCAAAGTGAAGAGCTACCTGTGCAAAGACATGGAGCACTACGTAATTCTGCCACTAGCTCTACCAAACAGGTCGCCTGCACCCACAGAGCGACGTCTGGGTTAATCATTGTTCAACTAAATTGCTGTTGACTTTCCTAATCAGGCTCTTTGGCTAACCATGCTGGAAAATGTTTGTCAGAAAGGCGGCTGTCTTTATGCAGATCCAGTAAGGTGACAGCTGGGTGACACCCTCTGACGCTGCAAGAGGACACCACGATTTGAGGGTGGCACAAGGCCAAGCCTGCCCTAGGAACGTGGGTTTCCCCTGGAATGGGCCTGGCCTGCAAGAACATTACAAGAGCAGAAAAATAACCCAGGGGATCATCAGTGATGCCAGGATCCACCGCAGTTTGTACTGGTATGTGTGTGTGTAAAAGTACTGTGAGGCTTCAAACAAATCAAAATATACACACAAAAGATGTTGAGATATATATTAAAAATCCCTATACATAAACCATATAATCATTTATATATATACACACATATATAATCTTCATATATTAATCTTTATCAGCAATCTGTATAGGGGATGACTGCACAGCCCAAACTGCTGAGTGAAGAGAGACAGGGAAAATGGATTTATTGTGACATCCTTGGTAGGTTTGATGTTATGAAAGTAAAGGTGTCAACGTAGCTCTCAGACAACTATCAGATGCTGTTAACCTTTCCCACAGCTCTGCCAGTATTTTTCATCCCTGGCTGCTATTTTGCACCAGAGATGCTTCAAGATATGAGTAAGCAGGGATATAATGGGAACCAGTAGCTTCACTTCCACTCATGATGGCAGCAGGGACTTTAACACAGACCTCTGTGTAGGGGCAACAGTGGATACCATAGTCCTTGGGAGGAGGGGGAGGTATAAATACAAGGATGCTTATAACCCGCCCTGTCCAACCTACCATTAATCACAGGTGTGAAAACTGCCATGCCTTCAAAGTTTGGGTCAGTTACAGTTTTGTCCAAGATAAGCCCACCAATGCTGTTAAAAAAGGACAGATAATGAAGGTGAATCGATCTCTCTCTTCCCAGGGCAATTCCTACGCAGTGAAAATAGCACACTGACATGAATTGCTGCTTCTTCCCCATTGCCAGGGCTGGACTATTGCCCATTTACTCCTTTTACAGCTCATTTTTCACCAGTAGATATCCTTACAGCTTTTGTTAATGGCATAATGAGATCAGGAAGATCTCCTTGCCCACCCTTAAGAAAAACTGATAGTAGCCAGGGAAGCTTTATCATCCTCCCCAAAAGTTTTGCTACACTTCTGTACTGGCCTTAGCAGTTGTCAAAAAGATGTAGCACAGATGGAATGAACTACCTGCCTCTACATTTACCAGTCTTCTGTCTTGAGAGATGGACAAAAATGAGGTTGAAGTCTTGACTATTTGTGATGGTCATCATCTCCCTTTTTGGTTTCCTGGCTTGCACCCATATGCTGCATGGATGTGCAAGTGAGACTTAAAATGGTGACTTCCTTTTTCCAGTCATTTGGGGGCTCCTTATCTGCTATCTCACAGCCACCAATACCTGAGCAGCACTGGAAAAATACCCTTCTGCTGTCCGTTCCAGTTTCACTTTTGATAGCTTTCTAAATGAGCATGGGGTCTCTCTGCAGCTCGGGAACAATTCCTCAGTTTACCTGCTGATGCTCATTGCAACAATGACCGGCTGCCATCCAGATTTCAGGACTTCGGCAAGGGAAGGACTTTGCTTGGCAATAGCAACCCAGAGAGGGATCATGACAATGAAAACAGCACAGATCAGAGGAGAAAGGTATTTCACATCTGGCAAGGAAAACAAATCTTGAATTAAATGCCCCTGGCTTCACAGGTTGCCAAAATTATATTGCACAAAGTCTGGAACAAAGGCAGCAGGGCTCTCACTCAGACTGAGTTACATTAGCAGAAAAATCACATGAACCAAGATATTCCCCACACAACCACCTCACTCCACCCAGAAATCCATAATTAACACCTGAAACTCACTGCTAGCAGATGTTATTTGAAAATCAGCAGCATTCAAAGCAAGTCATATTGAAGATGAGCAAGTCTCCAATTCCATCACCAACTAAGCAAGACAAAAATTTACAAAATTTCTGGCTTCAGGGTACAAATCAAACAGCAGGGCAAGGGGGAAACTCCTGTGTGCAAGCTGTATCACACTTAACAACAGACACCTCATGCCTTCACCTAAAACAAGAGGTAATAGGTTCTTTTGGTGACAAGCTAGCAGAATTGCTGAGCAGCTGGTCTGCTCTCTTTCACATATAAGCCAGTTAAGATCCAGGGTTTCTTTTGTCCAAGCTGACATGTGTTTCCATTAGGTGCTTTTTCCATTTGGTAGGGGCATGAACTTGGAGTGACCTTAGAAGCAAAGGAATTAAAAAATAAGTAGATGTGCAGCACTAAAAGAAAATAAACATGACTCAGAAGCATGAGAAACACCTTCAAGCAATGGGGATGATGCCAAACCCTTTGATACAAAAATGCTTCTTCAACAAAGCTCTCCATCTGGTCTCTGTGTTGGGGCCAAAGTCAGCGGGTTGTAACGCAGATTTTGCAGGTAATCTTAGTCTGGGAGACTAAGCAGGCTCAAAGTGTGCATTTTTTCAAAATGATGTTGCCAGGGCCTCGAGCTACCTGGATGAGATAGCACTGATATGATGATACCTTCCATGAATTAAGGGCTCTTACACAGAGAGGTGCGGTTTTTATGTGTGGCTTTAGTCGGCACTGAAATGCAACCACTTCTGGTGTGTAAACAGCTGCTGTTTTGTCAGTGCACTTTACCACCCGGAGTCATTTAGGACAGATGGGTTGTATGACAGACTTAGCCGCTGTACTGGATCTCCTACCTCCACTCCTTGTTGCTTTGGGCAATTAATTCCTTCTTAAATAATGCAGATACAGAGCACTGGAGTCTATCAAACCGTACCAAAGCCCACAGAAAGACTCCTGGTAGGATGAATGGACGTCAGTCTCCACATTCCAGCTCTGCCACATTCTCTCAGCCCATAAGCAAGCTGCAATCCTTCAGCACAGTTGGTATCTCCACTATGCAGAACTGGGAAGGACCAGGGTTGATTTTTTAAAAAATTGAAAGTCTTCATTGGCAAAAGGGTATTCCGCAGAAGGAGATGATGCTGCGTCAGATGGCACATAGTACTCCAAACTTTACAGACTCACTGGTATTTTTGAAGGATACATTTTGGTAGGACCTAGAAGTTGTCACACATGACCTGTCCCTTATGACACTGGGGAGGGAAATTCAACCACCATCAACAGTGCCTTCCTCTTCACTGCTTCAGTTCATGCTCCCAATGAGTAGGTGTCTGTGTGCTGAATATTTTCCATCTCAAGAGGCTATTTAAACTACTCTGAAAACATCACAAATGCTCCCTGGTCACAACCATAGAGGTTGTTGTGTTATTCCACCATGTGCTTCCTGGGAGGTATTATCAGAAGCGTAGCAACTGAAAGTCAAACTAGCTTTACAGAGGCAGGTATGATGGCGTCATGGAAAAAGCCTATTAAAAAAATGCACCTCCAAAGCTCAAGGACGACTGGATGGAAGCAGTTCGTGGGCCTCTCCCTGCAATGTGTGCTCCTTCACTCCCTCACTTGCTGGCATATGGAATGAGTTATGCAAACTGAGAATAGCTGCCTCGCTGCTTCTGCTCACAGTCTGAAGCAACAGTTTGCGTTTCAAACGGTACTGGGTTTGCTGGATGTTTTTATTTTTCTGTTTCTAGTCTAGGTTAGGCTCACGGTAAATAGCCTAGTACTTTACAAGCTGCAGTCAGGTATATACCACCAAGCTGCAACATGTTTTGAGCTTTCCGGTGTCAACAGGTGCCTAAGTCTTTGCGAACCAACAGCACAGCTAACCCCATAGCCACAACTCCTACTCAGAATCCTGTGAGCATAAAAAAACACAGCATTGCCTCCATCCCTCCAAGATGACAGTATTTTGTTTATCCATGACTCTCCACATAAGAAGATACAAGAATATTTTACAAATGCCAAAACCCTGAAAGAGCATTGTGAGGAAAGACCTGCTATTACCCATACACAGAAAGTAGCTATGCTTGACTAGCAACAGATGCAGGAACAGAGTCAGTGTCACTTGTGTCAACTTTCTGTTCCAAAGCTATGCAATGCACAGTGGTTATTTCTTTGACAAATCCCAGTTGTGTTTCTTAGGCTCTGTGTTCCAATTTGCTACTAAAAGAGAGTCTGGAAAAAGCCTCTTTGGTCATTTTTCTACCCCAGTGGCATGACAGCCTCCATTCTGAAACATCTCAGAAACAGCTAAGTACCTGCAATAATTTCACAAGAATTCACCCTCCCCTTGCTGAGGTGCAAATCCCTGCTAAATACTGTACCTATGTATTTGAAGAGTGTACTGCTGATTCCTGCCAGCAGGGAAAGGGTTATCAAGTCTCCAAGGCTTGCTGCTATGGGTGTGGCGATATTGTCTGGATTGATCCCAACTTTCCTTGCTCCAATGATCACACCAATCATCACCAGACCTAGAGAAGACACAAAGCAGGCATCAGAGAATGCATCCTGCTGCATTTCACCCCAGAGCTGCTGTTCTGGTTCCCAGAGGGACACCAGGTCTGGAAAAAGCAAGCAGCAGATTGCCCATAGCAGTACCACACAGCTGGAGATTGGACATCCCCAGGAATTTGTCCTCTTGCTTTCACCAACCTGAAGGGCATGACTCTGCCCTTATGAACTGCACCAAAGGCCCAGAGGCACACAAGCAAATTCCAGGGATCAAAGGAGATACCAGCAGGCAGCCCAAATGTAGAAGCTCCCCTCCTGAGCAGCCTAATCTTTGCTGCCTTGAAGCAGGACCAGGCACAAAGCACACTCATAGATAAGCCCACAGCAGGCATGCGGCAGCCTCCTGATGCTATCCCCTGCTCTGGATTCCACAGCACAAAGATATTTTCCATATTAGACCAAAATTTCTCTGAGTTTGAACCACCAAAGAGCAATGAGATTCACTACAGCAGCCCGAATTAGCTTTTCAGCCCAGCCATCAGACTGACTCCTCAAGTCCCAGAGCCTTTGGGGCTGCTTTAATTTGCACTGGGTTGATGCTGTGAGCAGCTCTAAAGTCAATGGATTATGGAGGTGGCCCACATCACCTCCCTTCCCCCATCCTCTGAGCTGCACCTGGAAAATTCAGCTGCTTTTGAGCATTGTTGGAAAGGAGGGAAGCTTTGCTTGCCCAGGTAAGTTAATAAGCACAAACCCCAAACCCTGATGAACATGTGGGAATCCCTCAGCCATCAGATCTCTCACAGGCCTGTGGAAGAGCCACCTGGAATAAACGCTGCCTGGCCAGCCTCCACTGCTGTGTGACTAGCAAGGGCAGCCTTGAGACGAGACAGATGACATCTCTTCAAAGTCCTTATGTGGCTGACAGGATGCACCAAAGGAAGCCTGAGAAACGGTGGGTCCCTCCAGCTCACCACCTCTCTGTGCCTGTTCGCACAGACCCACCAAAGGTGAGCGTGTATAGCAGCATAGACTCACCCCTACAAAATGCCATGTGTGCATCTTCCCCAATAACACACCCCTTATACAGAAACACATCCTCACACAACATGGCATTCTCCACAAAAGCCCTCCCAGACACCCACACTCCCCTCCCCACAGCACAGTTCATGTTGCTTCCCTCCCTGGCCATAAAAACAACAGCTTCCCATCATGCACACCCACACACAGTCTGCCTGTGACCGTGTCCAGAGGAGAAACTAATGCTAGCTGAAAGCCTGTGACAGTATGTCAGCAAAGCCTCTCTGTATCACACCAGGCAGGGAGATTGAAGACAAGATTTTAATGAAAGCTGGGCTGCAGTTTTTCTCTCTTAACAACTGCCTCATCCCATGTTTTTCATCAAAGGCATCTACAATCACCCTTTGACTCCAGCTTCAGGATATGCACTTGCTCTAACTTGTCCCTTTCATTTAGCAAACTTGCTGCATCCAACGCTGCCAGCTCCCTCGATTCAGGGTGTCATGCTGCCCTCGTATGGCAGACCTTGAAACTGACCATCATCAGGCGACACAGAGCAGCTCCGACCCGTCCACCCCATCACGTTTCCCTTGCAAGGGGAATATCCAGGGAAGCGGACTGCCTGGCTCAGCACTCACAGCAGGCGAGCCACAGGGCTGCCCACAAGCCTCCGCAGGGTATTGTGTGACACGAGTCCATCTCAGGCGTGGTCTGGAGTTGTCTGCTAACAGACTCTCAATACCCTGCTTTGTGCATGGCATTAGTGGCATGCATTTGTGTGTGGCACTCTCCCCTAGGAAAGGGCAAGTATAAATGCTAACATGACACCCAAGACACATGGAGAAAGTGTGTGCACCTGTGTGTACACCCATGCATGGCATGTGGCATTTTTTCGTGTGTCAAGTGAAGTGGGACATTTTGATTGCTGCTGTGGATGCTGAGAGTCCAGTGAACAACAGATCCTGGAATAAAAGAAGCAAAGGCGGGATGCAGAGGGAGTGAAAGCAGCAGACATAGGACTAATGCTCCCTGCATCCCTACTCCTCATGCCAGACCAAAGTGATGTCAGCTGGGCCTCTCTGGCAGAAGGGACAGTTTTTTCTGCACCTGGGTGCTGCATGTTTGATCTGAGGAATGAAAACAACTCACCAAGAGAAAGTGCAGCTATGAAGGCTGTGGTCACACTGCTAGCACACAGCACGGCAGCCTGGCTCAGCTCCACAGAGCCCTTGGAGATGGCTCCCAGGATCACAGCAGCAACAGCAGCCAGAAGTCCCACCACAGTGGCCTGGACCTGAGGGCCAAAAGACAACTGGTGAGCAATCATTCGCATCTGCTCGCATGCAGTCCTGGCTCCATATGACCACAGCATTTCCACACAGCTAGGAGGTCAAAGCCTTGCAGAGATGCTGATTGCTTATGTATTTAAGCAGCATCCCTGTAAGTCTCCACTGTATTAAAAAAAAAAAATCCCAACAAAGTTTAGAGAAAAACTCTGGAGTCCTACAAAGGGCAGATCACATTTCAGCAAAGGACACTGAGCCCATCAGCAAAGGAATAGCCCTGGTCAACACAAAAACGGGCTCCTCATCAACACAGCACTCCTAGCAAGCCGAAAGCTGTGGAAGGAGATAAGGGAAAGCACACAGACACATGTTGCAAGCCCTGTGGCCTTGCCATGTGCAACCTCTAAGCTGGTTGCTGGATTTTAACAAGCAGAAAGGGCTACAACAGGCACGTTTCTACCATCTCTCCCCTCCTGCCCAAGGCTGATTCCCAAACACTGCCAGTAAATGACAGGGTTTATCTAGGGGCTGTTGTGAAACACAGATTGTGCCGCAGCTCCCCCTGCAAAAAGAGTATTTCTCATTATTTCAGTTTGTCCACAATGGCAATGAATGTCTAGATGTGTTTTGCAGCTAAACTAAAAGCTCTGGGGCCACACAGAGCTTTATTGGAGGTCAGGTCCCTGGGCCCTGCTTGACTCTGTTGAGAATACCTGCCCCAAATCAACAGCTCTGGATCCAGCACTGCTGGGAATAGATGCTGTTGGGCTGCAGCACAGCAAGAGAAAAGGGCCTTTTTCCTCTCCCAGTCGAAGTGACTCACCTGGATAAGGGCTAAATTGCAGGTGGCCATTTTCCATTGCTTCTGGGCATCATCCATCTGTCCGGTGTTAGCCTAGGAGCCAAGAGAGACACCCTGAAAACCTGTTCATGGGGCACAGGTGGCTGCTGAAGGCAGTTTCATCTGGTCACTGTGGGAAAGGGGCTGCTAAAGCCAGAAGCAAGCACAGGTTGGCATCTCCCAGCATTCCCTACATTTCCTTCTTGACACATTTCCATCATGCTCCAGCCCAGTGTCCCAGGGGCATCAGAGGCTCACATGGAAGTGCAGTGGCATTGCAGAGCACTCAGCTAAAGATGGAGTGGGCACATCCACCACATCCCACATAGACCAAAAGCTGAACAAATTAAACCATTTTTCCTCTTTTGTTCCCCCTAAATTGCTCTGTTAAGCTCCAATTTCTCCTGACACATGAATATAAATAGCCCGAAGTAAACAAAACTGCTCTAGGGAGATAGGAGAGACCAAATCCAGAGCAGCAAAAGCTAATGCAGGTCCCAAGAAGCCTCGGTCTGCTCCCCCCAAGGTAGGATTGCTGGGAAGCCTTGGGTCTCTCAAGGATCAATACCCACAGGAAACAACCCCATACTGAAGCTGACAGCTGTGGAGCCCTGGCTTTGTCTCCTTGATGTGTCACATGACCCCAAATATCAGCAACTGGCTACCCAGGGATAGTCTGTTCAAAGAGCAGACAGAAATTCCCTGTTCTAGTTACAAAATGAGGGCAAACATATTCTTTTAATTCTCACACACCACTAGTCTCTACTTAGCAGAAAAGGGCATGTCTCATATACACAGTGTGATTATACAAAGCAGAATTATACAAAAGCAGAATCTCCTGATGTCTCCTGATAATCCCCTCCTCCCCACACACACACCACCACCTTGTTAACACTCACAGCAGTAGAGAGCCTGGATGCCAGCGTCATCTCAAGATTACCCTTCAGTCCAACCAAAGCAGGAACCAGGATAAAAACTTCTGTAATTGTTCGAAACACATCCCAGTGCTGCAAGGAAGAAAACAAAGGCAACAACCTCAGTCTGTAATGCTGAACAGTCCAATGCTGCTGCTTCAAAGGGGAGTGGGTTCCCACCTCGCCAGCTGCTCTACAGGTGCCTGCTATGCGTATAGGGGCAGATGCTGCCCTGGGCTGGTTGCATTTTGGGAGTGAAGGAGAGAATTTTTAGCTTGCAATATTCTTTCTGATCTCATGCACAGCAAAGCACTATCCTAACAGGGAAGGAACCTTCTTCCTGAGGGCAGCAGCAGATTACAGAAAGCCACAAATTAAAATATGCCTTTAGCATTAGCCAAGAACAACATGAAAAATAATTAGGGTTCACAAGCCAAATGAAATACAGCATGCTCTCTATCCTTTGTACTGACACTGACAGGTACAGGAACGCCTATTACTATCCAGACTCATAAGAATAAACACAACGATCTGGAAACGATCTAACAACAAAGAGTTGCATCTGTCTTTTTTTACCAAACTTCTAACTAAGCATCTAAGGCTGGTGGTGGGAGGGAAGAATATTTTTGTATCTCTTCTTCACATGCAATTCCTAAATCTTCCTGTTACCAAGCATGCTCCCAGCACAGCTGAAAAAAAGGATTTTGAATTAAGATATCCCATAAGCCCAAACTGCTGGGACAGTATCTTGATTATCATGGCTCCTCTGAAGCTGAACTGTACAAAGCTGTTGAATCAGCTGCAACACTAGAAGTGACCTGAAACCTTAAGAAACTTTGTTGATTAACACGTCTTCCACAATTTATCTACCATATAGTGCCTTGGAAATAATTCATTCACCCCTGTGCATTCAAGAATGTTGGCAAAGCCCCACTGTAGCCAGAGAGGCTCACAGCAGGATGAAACCGCAGAATGGTGCAGCTCACCATGAAGTAAAACCAGCTAGTCCAACATCTAAGAGCAGCTGCAATGAGTCAGACCAAAGGTCCATCTAATCTATCCTTATCTGCACCAGTAGTCAAATTCAGATGTATAAAACAAGAATCTACAAATATGACAAGTAGATGGGATAATTCGCCTACGTATTTGCCAGCCTACAACTATCTGCCACAGATATCTGAGCTGGGATAGGGGGGTTGTTTCTGTAGAGTTAACCAGTGTTCAAAGGATTTCTCTTTCAGGTACTCATCCAGTGTCCCCCCTCCAACCCATGTGCCATCCCGTGGCAAAAATTTCCATAGTTTAGCTACATGTCATGTGAAGGATCAACTTGTTCATTAATTCTAACTTGTCACTGGCTAGTATCTTACGATGGTCTCCAATTCTGGCACTAGAGGACAAAACAAACAACAGATCCCTTCCCACTTTCTCCACGCCCACTGGGATTCTATAAACCTGAAAATCCAGGAGGCTCGACAGACTCGGTAAGTGTCGACACATTCAGCTGTCAGCCTGTTGGGAAATATATACAGGGTGTAACAGCTTGGTGTTTTGCTCTGGTTGTGCCATGGGAAGCTGTGGGCAGCTGGTGGTGCGTCTGTCTGCTGGGAAGACCTCATAGCTTCCTTCTGAGTCAGGATGAACGAAAGTGGGGCTGAGCCAGCCCTGAGCACGTGGTGCATGACACCCCTCAGAGGTGCAGATAACAGGGAAAACATTATTATCAATACAGAAAGACACATTTCCTGGCAGTGGTGACCTGGAAACAGGCACGTTTCAAGATGTTAAAGCTAAGTTACTGTTAAGTAAACAACAGACAACACAAGAACAGTCACCTTATTTGACACATTACAATTTTGTTTGCATTTGTTAATATGGAATTTAAATACCTGAGAAAAGCTAGGGGTGGACATCTCTTTTAAAGATTCAAATCCCCCTCTCTCCTCTCTCTTTAATTAAGAATAAAGATCCAAACACATCTCTGACACCTTCAAAAGAAAGAGGAGAAAAAACAGACTTCATAGTCACAATGTAAAAAAACTCAATAATTTAAAATGCACAGGTGTGCAGACATTCATATTTAAGACTTTGCATATTTTGCACATAAAAATTATAGAAATAAAAAGCAACAGAAACTCAACTGTTTCTGTTTTCTGTGCATGTCACCTTTGGGGAAATATGACTTTGTTATATCAATATAAGCTCCAATCCTTGTGTTCATGATATATTTTGCAGGTCTCAAGCAATCATAACAGAAGTTTCAGCATACAAGGTATGATTTTTTGGGACTCTGCCTTACATATAATTACACTGAAAGGCTTTGAACAATTAGTAAACAATCACACAACTGTACTAATAAAAATAGCTGACTTTATTGCATCCATTTGAGTCTCACTGGTGACTCACCAAGAGCCTAAGGACAGATTCATAGTGATTTATACCACAGTAGCCAGGACTCCATTGTGTTAGAAACTGCAGAAATACAGCACAAACAGATGATCCCTGTGCCATTGCCTTGCAGCACTGTCAGCTGGAGGAGCAGGTGAATGTGGCAGGTTAGAGCTGTGCAGGCAAGGAGCTGCCTGAATGAAGACAGCTGGGTAAGTCTAGGAAGCATCTCTGTCCTTTGAGATGAGAACTGGCTGCAGCATCGCAAACCCACACAGGGATACTAAGCCAGAAAGAGACTCTTTCCCACTTCACGGCCCCATAATGGAGTTACAGCCCTAAAGCTCAGCTCTGAAGAAACTTGGTTACCCTATGATCCACTGCAGCTGGTCCCCATGCCAGCTGGGGGGATGACCTCAGCTCATGAGGTCCCATAGAAGAAAAGAGGCTGTGATGTACTGAGACAGTCTTCCCAGCTGCAGTCTACACCCGCTGTCCCTCCTTACACTGTCCTCATAGTCTCAAACATGTCCTGTTACCTCTCCAGGGCATCCATCCTCCCATGGCAGCAGCTGAGAAACCTCATAGGTTTTCCATTGCCCTCAACAATTCAACAGAAAGATCAAAAGATCCTGGACTATAAAACACAAGCTAATTCAAAATCCTTTTTAATGCTAATCATCTCATGGGCTTTTATCAACAGAGGACAGGGATATCTTCTATCTCTGACTTTTATTTGGACTGTGTCTCACCGCAGTGGTGCGGAAGGGGAGAATGAAAGGGAAACTTTCCTCCTGAATTCTCTGGTTTGAAATCTGATCATCCAGCTTCAATTTGATTCTTCACCTTACTGTAAAAGAGTGGGCCAAACACTGGCAGGGCTCTGCAAGGTCTCCAGCAATGCCAGCCAGCCTGGAATCTGGATTGACCATCTGGCCAAGGATCACTGGAGCAGAGGCGGAAACATCCAGCAATAAAAGACCCATGCCATGCTACCAGCCCTGCACAAAGACTGCTTCATCTGCACAACTAAGAAAAGAAAATGGCAACTGGCTGTTTCTCTGGGCACCCTTTTATTACAGTATGAGAAATGCAGGTTTGAGCCTTGGAGTCAACGGAGCTAGACAAATCGCTATTGTTGATTTTTTTTTTTTTTTAACAGTAACGTGAACAGTTCTTGATTTCATCCCAGGACAGACCAGAAACTGCTAAAATCCTGAAAAGTTTGACAGAACACAAACAAGCAACTCCACTTTGTTCTCCTCTTTACAAGAAGATCAGCCCTGCAATCGAGAATGCCAGCTGGAGTCCCAGAACAGAACCACATGACTTCAAGATATTTTGTACCTAACAAAAACAAGGGCAGCACTGTTGAACTCACATGTATGCTCTAGATACCATCCTTGAGCTTGCCCATATACCTCCCTATCAAAGGCAGACATGGAGTTTCCTGAGAATGTTTTGCGGTGACTGCAAATAGGGCAAAGCATTCCTCAGTCAGGCCATCCACTGAAAAAGGGGCAAATCACAGACTCTTGGACTAGAAAAACCTGTAGTTTCAGTAGCCTGAGCCCTCATGATTACCAGTATGAGTCTTATGGTACCTGGACTCAAGCAAACAAACTTAGCCTCAGGTTTTAGTTGGACTGGACAGTGAGTTTCTAGCTCTCACACTTGCAGAAAGAAAAGCTGAAAATAAGCAGCTCAAAGACAAAAAGGCACAGAAGAATAATCCAAACCTTTAACAGCTAAGATCTCTGGATTTTCCCAGCTACCGGTTTTGTTTTTAAATACAGTGTTGTTGATATCATGGCAGCTTACCTCACTAACGTCTCTCCTATGCCCTCAATGCACTAGCTCCCTCCTCTGGGAGCTGAACCCACTGACTGATGGCTTCAACACAATTGGAAACACCTTCACCAAAAAATAACACTTCCTATTATTGTGCTACATGCATGACCCAATTTCTAACAGTCTAGTGAACAAGTACACAAAGTAGACTGCACTCTGGTGTTTAAAGGACACATGCAATGGCTTGTGTTTTCCATCAGTTTGGATACAGTGACATTGCTCAACAAAGCCCAATTCTTAGCAAGTGCATTTGATTTCTTTTAGCCAGACCTATTCACCTGCCAAGGGTATGGAGTGGGTAGGTACTATGTCTTTATCCTTCTCTGAGATATCTGGCCAAAGATAACTGCTAACTATTAACATAACATCTTGGGTAGTTTGAGAACTTCTGTAATGCTGCAAGACAGGTCTGTGTCTAAGCACAGCACAAGGTGGAGATGACAAACAGAGCATAGCAATAGCGTGTGCCACTTCAGTTAACCCTTCTTTGATATTCCTCACATTCTTTTTAGTTCAACTGCTTCACCGCCTTTGTTTCTTCTGCGGGAAAAAACACCAAGGTATTGTCTTTCCAAACACTCAAGTATCCATATTTAGCTCCTGCTGGGGTACTAATGCCAGAGAATCCAATGTACTCCAGTGAGCTCAGAGTGCAGGATATATCCTTGGGAAACTCTGCCAGCCTTTTGATTTGTAAATCCACTGGCATGAGATGCCCAAACTAGATCAAATTTTGCATTTCTATTTGTGCCACTGATACAAAGGAAAGACAGACAGGATAGAATCTGGTTGTGGGCACAACGGTGTAAATCCAGCAGCAATCCTTGGAAGTCAATGGAAGTTATTCCAAATTTATACTCACCTCAGAATCTGGCCAAGAAGCACTCAGTTTGTAGGCAATGCTAGTCTTTTTATGCTGGCATGCCTTTCATCACAGTAGCTAAATGCCTTCTAGACCAAAGATTACATTAGGTTGTTTGCAACGAACTGAAAGCATAAACTTGCCTTTAAGTGAGACAGGTAGTTAATAACAACCCTGACCTAGATCTCCTTATCAGTGATTTTTGAAGGAAAGAAACAGTATCATGCAATAGGGGAATATGCCACAGTCCCCAGTTGCTTCATAGCAGTCATCACCGAAGTGCTTAGCTAGATACAGTAAAAAGAGCACCCAGTCCGATGCACCGAAGGCAGCGTCAGGCAGCCTGTCTGAAAGCCACTATCCCACTTTACAAGGAGCCCATGTACCGATCTGAAGAAGATGGATAGTGTCTCTCTAGCACAGGAAAAGCCTACAGCCGTCCTGCTGACTGGCTGCTAGGACCATACACGTTAAAAACAAAAACGCACAAATACTCAAGGTCAGTGAAGTAGCCCACCCTCTCACTACAAAGTTGCCTAACCACATGTACCTACTTGAACAACATCCATCAAGAGGCCAGCAGCTACCATGCCCAAGCCTGCCAGAAGGAATGGCACAAAAATCTGGGAGGCAATGGAGAATGAAGTCTCTGGGAGAAATCCACTGGCTGACCTGGTCAACTTGCAGGTGAAACCTCTCAGCTTCTTGCCATGGAAGCACAGTTCCAATTGTAACTGGGTGACCACCATGGTCAAACACCATTACCCCATGCTCAGCAGGACAAATGGGGGGAGATTAGGACATCACACAGATCCTCCTGGTAGCTCTCTCCAAAGTCAAAATAAATGTTTTTTCTCAAACTACAGCAATGATGCTAAATTGTTTTAGTTTCTTCTCCTCCTCCTAGGAGCACATCCAGAGGGTTTGCAGCAAGGGTATCCTCCAAAATTGATTCAGCTGTGTTGAGCCCAGGTGGCAGCAAACTTGACAGACACTATTTCTCCGAGTTATATCCAGGGGGGAATAAAAAAAGAAAAAAGAAGATTGCGGAGGTGCCTGTGGACGAATAGAAATGAGCCCACACCCCATTCAGCTCCCACCACCTCGGTGAAAACCAGTAAGACCTGCTCAGGCTACAGCACTGAAAGAGTGACAGGTCATGCAAGAATCCCTCAGCATGCTCAAACGCACTAGTGTCCTTTCTCCTCAGGTTACATTTCTTGTCAGACTGCGGCTCGCCTTTGATACGATGGTTTAATATGTAAGCCTGCTGTGAACCAGCCCCAGTTCCCTCACTCCCACCATAAGCAATGCTGAACTTTTCTCACTGTTCCAAGGCCGAGGAGGTGGGGAGTTAACAACCGGGATCCGTTTTGCTCTCCTTCAAGGTGAAGAAAGGTCGAGGAAAACATGAGTCCACATTTCTCAGGGCTGACGATATTACGCAGGTCTCATCCTCAGGCGAGTGACACAACTAAGCCGGCTGGTGAGAGAAGAGCAGCTGTTCTAGACCCCAGCCCCTCTTGTCCCCTCCATGGTCTCCACAGGATGTAACGATAGGTCTATGCCAGCTACACATCTGAATGACTGGCTTTCGGGGGAAAAAAAAATATCCAGAGAACCAGCCAATAAGCTTGAAAAGCGAACACCCTTATCTGCTGTCATCACTTCAACTTTCTGCTAGTTTGCAAAGGCCAAGATAAGAGTCATAGCCAGAGCTTATTTAAGGTAGCTCTGTAATCTCACTACACTGCAGGCGAGGGAGAGAAAGGGTGAATGTTTCTGTGGTATGCTGTGAGCTGGTCTCCCTTCCTGTCCTAAAGAGAAACACGTCGCTTCTGCATACTCCAAGGAAGATACTGTCCTTAAAGTAGGGGGTCTCGCCCCAGAGACTCCATGGTCAAACAGCTGACAGAAGCTCAAAAACCAGAGCTGCATCATGGCCACATACAGCCAAAGAATTTGTATCCTGCTCAGTGAAGACTGAAGTGTATTCTTCAGCTCAAAGTCATGTATGCAGGGAAGGGAGTCAGGGTATTCTGTTGGGGCTCCTTTCTGATAATTAATTTGGGCAAACTAATTGGACCAGAAGATCAAAAAGCTTTAAAAGCACAATTTAGGATGGAAGGACATAGGATTGGTTTAGTACACGGCAGCTGAGCTCTTTCACTATTCAACCACAGATTTAAATCCCGACATGCCCCAGTGAAGGAAAACAAGTGAAAGCAAGCATTCATTGGTAGGCATGAAGGATTCAGGTTTCTCAGTCCAGTTCAAATTCAGTGTTTAAATTTCACTGCCTTACTAACACTTTTTGTACTAATCAACCCCTTCCCTGACACTCTCTGCAGAGAGACGTAAAGATTAATGACTTGTGGACTCTGTCCTTGTGACAGGGTCCCCAGCTTGGAGCTAAATGCATTGCCAGGATGGGACAGAACAAGATAAACAAGGAACTGAGGAAGTTCTCAGCCATTTGGATGGTGCGTTTCTTTTGGTCTGTATTCACACAAACCAAAGCACAAAGCCTAATGGGCTGAGATCTCTCTGCAAGCATGGCAGGGTGAAAACAAGCCCTAGTTACAGACAGAAGATTCTGTCCTTTGCTGCTTTCTAGGTTGATATTTTGGTACAGCCCCCGAAACCTCCTCTACTCCCAGCTGGCTTGGTGTGTACATGTGTCTCTTTCACCTAACAATGGTCTGGGTAGCTGAAAGCTAACAAGGGAGTACATTTCAGCTAATCTAACTGGAAAAAAAAGCCCACAATAGCTGGAAGAGGGAGATTAATAAAAATCCTGTAACAACCACATGTGACCCAATCTCTTTATACTAGCCAGGAACTGAGAAGTGACAGCATGAAGGCCCAGTTCTGGTTAGAAACTCAGAGAGGCTTCAAGGAAATAAAGAACAATCTTTGTACAACTACCACAGGTTTTCAAAGGTCTAATAATATACATACCTAGTCCCATATGTCACTGTATCTGCTAACTGGATTGCTGACATTAATGTAAAGGAAACATTAATGAGCCTGAATGACTCAAATGCCATTAAAAAACACACCAGCAACATATCCTGTATTAAACCATCAGCCTGGCAGGGTTTATGAGTTTATCACACTTCGGCTCGCTCTGTTTCTAAGCGAGCACCATAAAAAGCCTTCAACCGATGAATCAGTATGCAGAGAAGGTGCACCTGCGTGGGTACACTGGGTCATTTTATTATGCATTTAAGGAGCCTCTGATAAAAGATCCACACCATATTTGTCAGCAAAGAGATGCATCATATTTTCCTGGCAGAGATATACCATATTTGTCTGCAAAGAGATGCATCAGGTTTGAGAAGAAAGAAAGTGTTGCTGAACAGTGGGAAAGAGATTATAACTAGTTAGTTTCCTTAGATTATAACTAGGGAAAAAACCAACTAACCACGCCATGGCTGCACCACTCATCATGGCAAAACCCAGGGAGACACACTGCTGCCCTTCTCTGCACACAAATCCCTATGCTTGCAAACTAGCCGACAGCTAGCATTGCCCTGCAGGAGCCAAAGAAGAAACACCCTCTTTGGTGGGCCCTGACCCTGATCTAGGACCTCCATCCACTGCCACAGTACAAAAAACAAAAACAAAAACAAACAAACAAACAAACAAAACAAAACAAAAAAACCCCAAAAAACAGAAAGATGACAAGTGCCAAAGAATACAGTTTCAGTTGTACCTTATCATCCCTGCAAAGAAGGGACAGGGATATCAGTGAGTGCTCTTGCAACATGGCAGCATTAGCAACAGACAGCACTATACTGACACCTTAGACCCACGGGGGATGATGCTTTTCAGGAACCATACGTCCCAGTTGTTGGAGTACTATCACTCCTGACTTTGCTAGCTCTCTTTCAGATCAGGCTGTGTATTCTTCCTGTTTCTTACCTTGGCCCTCTCTTCCCCACTTTAGGAAAGGGCAGAGAACAGAGATTATGTAGATAGATTGAGAGCAAGCAGATGGAGAGTGCCTGGGGCCCAAAGCCTCGCAGCATTTCCTGCTGCCCCACAGAAACAGCAGCAGCAGCAGGGGTAGAGGCCAGAACTGGCTTAGAAAGAAAGGGTAGTTCCTAGCAGCAGCAAGTCCACAATGAGACACACTCAAGTGGTCCATGATCATGCATGAAAAGTCACTGTGCTAATCGCCAAAGGCCTGCTTTTCCTATGAGATGTTGCATAGGTTGATTTCCCAGGCTCTAAGCATTAACGTGAAAGCTCTTTGTGAGCTCTTTATTTGCATAAAACAGAAACCAGACTTTTGTGGTTTCAGAGGAGTATGAGATTTGCTTCACGTTCTGTTTATATTAGTGGCCCAGTCCTTCCTAGAAAAAAAATATGCTAAGGGAAGAATATGGAAAGAAAAACACTCTTACAACATCATAAACCCATCTGCAACCCATTTCACGCTTTGACATCTCACAATAGGAGGTAACATGCATTTAATGTCAGAGATCCATAGGAATGGGCAAGTCTGAACAGCCTGAAAAAAAAAAAAAAAAAAAAGAAAGTGGCTGCTCAAGGCTCAAGACTCTCAGAATGGCATCTATGGAGACAAAAAGTAGTTTGCCACTGGGTTCTGGATTTGCCTTGGTGTTTTCTGATCTGACTAGACATTCTGCTGGGTATTGGGTACGTGCTAATGTCAGTTAAGGATACTGTGTCATTCTTAAGCCTTTATAGCTCTTCTAGCTTAGGGAGATCAGCCCAGGGCTAATCACAAAAGAATACAGCTCCAGATTTGTGAAAGTTGTCAATACACGCACAGTAGTTTCAGCGTCGCTGTATCAGACAGGTTAGGGCAGTCTGACCCAAAAGTCAGCTAGTCAAATAACAAGGGTTAACAAAAAGGCATACAGCAGTGACAGTCACCTAGAGTGCAAAGGCATAGCAATTTATAATCTGGAAATTAACTGCAGTTTTAAACTGTCTAAAATCAGGTGCTCATCAGTACTATAAATCTCTGCATTGCTGCACCATAGGATGAAAAGTCCTGTCCTGAGTATCACAGAATCAGAGATCGGACTGGAAGATGACTCAAGGATTTGCATCATCTGCTACAAGGCCTTAGAAAAGGATATGGTGCGCAGGCTAGGCTGGTTGTATGAAGCATTAACAGTGCTGGGCTGGCTGGCTCCTTGCACAATGAAGCAGGGGATGCAGGACTTTCTAGAGCTACATCCAGGAGTGTTACAGCTGTATCTACTGCAGGGAAGCACTATGCCACCACAGTCCTTGGAGCTGCAACTCAGCCACCGTCTTCCCAGGACCAAGGTGAGGTCTGCATCTTCCTTCATAGATACCTCAGATCCTTCGCATGTTCTTTAGTACCATATTGTTTTATCATCTCCAGAGGAGAAAAAGGGCCAGAAAAATACCACATGCTGTCTCCTGAGAGCTGCACAAAAGTACACAATCGCTGACTTTGAAGGACATGTTGGCATGTGAAACTGTTGCAAATCCTCCTTTAATTTGCTGTCCCCAGAACAAATTCCCTGCCTCTGAAGAAAAGTCCCCCACCTATCCCATTCCAGGTACATCTGATGAGTTCCTTTCCCTTACCTGAACATAATCCAAAACCATGCCTGCCAAGACCATACCAAGCCCAGCTAGGAGGTATGGCAAGAGCACTTGTAGACAAATTGTGATGGCTGACTCTTCCTGTGACTTTGCCATGGCCGCTTTCTCCTCAGCCAACAGCTTCTGCTGTGCAGGCAAAGAGGCATCCTCTGCCTCCTGGCTGCCAAGCCGTCTCTCTCTGTGTTTACCCTTGCTCTTTGCTTTGTGCCTGGATCGCTCTCCATTCCTAGTCCTGCCCTCTTTTTTCCTCTGCCGAACTTCCTCACCTTTCATGGTAGCTTTCTTCAATCACAAAGTTTTTCTGAAAAACAAATTCAGAAACAATGAGATAACAAAAGGAGTCATCAGATGGGTCAAAAACAAGAAGCCCTTTAGTATTTTGTCCACTCCACTAACCTGAAGGCAAACTACCACCTACTCCCAAAATCCTAGATGCTCTGTTGACCCAAATAATAGTACCTAGTCTACCATCAACTTTGTATGGCATCAA